ACATGTCCCAGTTCGTCATGTGGTCAATTTTACTTTGCTCACTTCATAAACATATCTCTCAATCACAGGATGCTAGGCTGGCTTGGAAAGTGAAATGGAAGATAGGTCACTTGGGATGTACTAGGGTTTTTTCTTTAATATTTATTTGTGCATGCAAGAACTGGGGTGTAGGCCAGGGGTGCAGGGGATGAGAGGATTCATCAGAGACAGAGCGTGGAACAGAACAGGTGGATTGACTACAGCGGAAGACAGGAAAGGTCTGCTGCAGTATTTCAACCACTCCCTGGCTGGGGATAGTGGATGATGATAGCTTCCTACTGCTGAGACTTTAACCCCTGTGCCACCAGGGAGGCCCTAAAGTTTTTCTTTTTCGATCTCTTTCTCTCCCCATACTGCTTTCTTAGTCTATCCTGGCTACTGTCAAAGTTCTTTCCAGAATACAGACCTGATCTTTTTGTTCTTTTCACAGACTTCTGAGCGCATCCCTACTCCTAAAGCCTAGAGACTTTATCATCTAGATGTATTTCAGTCCCATCGCTTCTCATCTCTGCTTTCTGCTCCACTCTTCGAAATAACATTAGCTACTGTTTTGCCTCTTGTTCTGCAACTAGTCTCAGCCTTCCCTTTTCACTCACAGCAAACCTCACGTCCTCTCTGCCACGGCACTCCAGGGGCTCTATCACATAGTCCAAATGTGACTATATTTATCTTCTGTAAAGTTTCTTTTGAGGAAAGTACATGCCTTAGAATTCTATTATGTCCTTGGGAGTATTATATCTCAGTCCTAGGAAACTGGGGACTCTTTAGAGGTAACAAATCTTTATTTTTGAAATGACAATATAGTACTAACACAAAGTACAGCTCAATAAGGGCTTAGTAACTGTTTGTAAAATGAATAAATTCATGGTGTCCAGGAGGTAATTCAGAAGACATCAAGGGGAAAGACAGAGGGTATTGCAAATAGTCTCACTTTGGTAAGAGGGAAAGATATGTGGTAGAACCGGACTTTCAGTAAACAGCGACATGCGAAATTAGCTGCAATCATAATTTAAAAAAAAAAATCAATGCCTGGTCTTACCCCTAAAATGAAATTCTGTTCACTTTTCTATTTAAAAGAAATATTTAAAACCATTAGAAAAATCCAAGGAATTTTGGTAAATCAAGTGACTCGTATTTCTGGGGTTTATGCTTACCACTACAAATTAGCCAATGCATGGCTTTCGAACTGCACTTAGTCTATTATATCTTATTAACCATGAATGGGAATGTATAGACACATTTATATGGGAGAAGCATAAAGCCTTGTTCTTTAAGCTCTTGATGATTTTATATAGGTGGGAGATTATATAGTATGGTCAAGGTCAAGAATAACTGCTCTTGATGAAGATAGAAATGACAGTATGTGAAAATACTCATGTTTCCAAGGTCAAAGCAATTTATGTGTAGGGATTCCAGATTAGTCTCTGTGCTGACTAGGGCTGATTATGTATTTCTAGATACATATTAAATATTCTCATATTTAATCATGCATGTTAAGTCCTGCAACATGTTCCTCCTCCCCTTGAAAAATGTGTGCACAGTCCTGATAGATTTTCCTGTAGATATGATGAATTGGTGAATGGATAGACTGATGGCTGGTTGGCTGGCTGGCTTGCTAGGTAGGTAGACATGGCATCACAGGAACAAAGAGACTTGTCTCCACTGCAAGTTGTTGGCTGATATTGGATGGAATCCAAACCTGAAAGTTTTTTTTTTTTTAATCTAAACTGTTGCTAAATATTTAATGGTATGGTCAAAGTCTCTGCTTGTGAAGTAAATAGAATTTGAACATGTGATGCAATGTGATTTCAGGAATACAAAACCTTGGACTCTGAGTCTAGGTTTCTATAGTTTAATTTACAAAGTAGAATAGGAAAGGTTATAAAGTCATCAAGAGCTTAAAAACCAAGGCTTTATGCTTCTCCCATCTAAATGTGTCTTTGCATTCCGACTCATGGTTAATAAAATATAATGGACTATAATAGACTAATATAATAAGTGCAATTTGAAAGCCAAGTGTTGGCTAATCCGTAGCGGTAAGTACAATCTCCAGAAACACAAAACAGTTCCTTGATTTGCCAAAATTCCTTGGATTTTTCTATTTTTTTCTCCATGAACTCTGCCAAATTCAATGTCAGTGGTAAGTTTAAATATGTCTTCAACATGTTATTTAACATCGACTATCAACCAGCAACTTGATTATTATCATGTGTTAATTATTGCAGTGTGCATTAAACCTCAGGAAGGGAAAACTGGATCAGACCATAGATCATCCACATGGTCCTGAAGTTACAGAGCAAAGAACAACACACACTGGAGGACCAACACCTGTATCTCATCCCAAGACTCATCTGAAGACTTTTCATTGACCCGTGTGTGTTTTTGGAAGAATTCTGGGAACATCCTGCAATTCTCAAACACATTCAAGTGGCAAAGCACTCAGGACAAACAATTATTTTTAAATGTCCAGATTACTGTCAGCTATCTTCATATTTCATTGCACAAAGGAAATATCTCCTTGTGTAAGACTGATATCTATACTATATAACCATAGACCTAGGCAAATCTCCTTGAAAGTTGTCAAGCTAGGTTTGATTGAGTTGTGTTTTCATTTTCCTGTTAGCCTGTTTTCTGTAAAACACATGTTGTCATGTTCTATTTGACCTTAGTGTCTATATTGAATACTTAAAAATATCTACTTAAAGTTGACAAAATTCTTCCAGTCTGTTGACTTTTAGGGAGTGATGCATGTAAAACTGAGGACTCCCATGGCTCAGTTTAAGAAAAGTATCTCATTAAGAGTGCTCCAGAGGAGGCCTTCCTGGTGGCTCAGGGGTTAAGTCTCAGCACTATGAAGCTGCCCACAGCTATGGCAGCATGAGTTTGACCCCTGGCTAGGGAGTGACCCACGTGGTGCAGCAGACCTCTCCTGTCTCCTCACTGCTCCCCTCAGCAGTGGATTTCAGTAGCTCTGTCTGTTCTGCTCCCCACTCTACCTCTGGTGAAGTCTCCCTCCCTCTGCCCTGCCACCTCTGGCCTGCACACATAAATCAAATAAATCTTAAAAAACAAAAGTGCTTGAAAGGCACCATAAAAGAGGGCATGTATTCTTTTCTTTTTAGTTACATGTTTAATCAATTTCAAATTTCAAACACATAGAAAATTGACAAGAATGGAACAAAAACCTTCCATATACTCTATCCATAGACCTCATTCAAGTTCCACCAGTGCAGCTCTTAGAACAAGAAGGCAGTGTGCTCCATGCTTTGTCATGTCTTCCCAGGCTTCCTCTGTTTTGTCTTTCACAGCCTTTGCCTTTTTGAAACTCACAAGATAGTCCTTTTGCATAATGTCCTTCAGCTTGGGTATGTGCAATGCTTTCCTATGACACAACTGGCGATGTTTTGGGAGGGAATATTGCAGAAAAATCACTGTGTTCTGCTGGCGCCCCATGGGCAGGATGCACGACGTGATCGTGTCTCATGGGCGGTGGCATTAATATTAATTATTTGGTTAAGATGGTGTGTACCCGGTTCCCAAACTACTAATTCCCCTTTCTTATCTCCCTTCCTTTGTTTTTATGTGGCGAGAGAGAGAGGGAGGATTGTGACATAATCACAAAAGGGAAAGGATCATTATTAATATCACTGGTAGCACTTTTTTTTTTTTCGCTTAAGGAACATAATGTTCCCTAGGATCAAAGTCTAAGAATCGTTGCCTGACAAGATCATCCCTCAAACGGATGTCTCATGCTCTGAGCCTGCGATATAAGACCACCCAAATGAAAACAAGCAGTGGCTATTTAGGACTTGCTTTGGCAAGAGAGTCAAACATCACCATCTGCACTTGGCAGAGATTCCGTTAAAGGAGTAGGAAATCTTTATGGTGGAGAAGGGAAAACTGAGGCATGCTTTGATGGGAGGTTTTTGGTATGAAGAAGACAGAGGCAGACTAATTAGAAACTGAATATGCTGTGTGCTTCATCAGAGGAACATATTTGGCTTTACCAGGTTGGTCGTCATTTGGATTGATTGCTGCTGTGCTTTGGCTTCTGGTTACAGACATTGTGGGCCACAGTTTATTTTAATATATTGTCTGGCCATTGTATATTTACATATTCAGTCCCACGGAGCAAAGTATGTATAAGAGAACTATGGGCTCATGGATGGGCCCCTCTGGACCCTCCCAAGCACTGGTCTATTCTCCTCTCTCCTCAGTTTCTTCTTTGATTCCCAACTTGTAATTTAATATAAACTTTCCAACCCCGAGAGAGATCTAGAAATTTGTCTAGGCAGACATGAGGAGGCATAAGAGTGGATAAGCAGGATCTTGGGTTGATTTGAGGTGAGAAGAAACTGAGGATTCAGGGAAAACTTGAAGGTCATAACTGGCGCTACCAGGAAGATTTTGTTACTAACAGAAGGTAAAAGAGGAATAGAAAGAAACAGCCATTCTGTGAGGGAAGAGTGTGACCTCAGTTTTTTAGGCATCATAGTTTCAGAGGTGGCCCTGAAGATGTTCTTTAGAACCATATGTTTGGAAACTGTAACGTGACTTCAGACTGACAGCAAGAGGGGATGTAATCACTCTGAGCTCATTTGTCAAGGTGATGGGGGAGCATGATCTCATCCTCGGCGCTCTGCCTATGGCTAGAGAGTGAGTAGTCTGGCCTGGAGACCTCACAACCTGGGGTCCTACTGGGAGACTTCAGGAACTATAATGGGCCTCACTGTAAATGTCATGGAGACAGAAGCCATCTACCCAAGATTTCACAATACCCACAGAAGTGAAAAAGTAAATGATTAAAGGATGTAGGTCTTGGAGTTCCTTTCAAATCATGATTTCTATCTTCTGTTTACAGAGATAAAAGTTCAAAAAAAGTTAATTGTTAAACACTGAGATATTTGCACCTCTTTTTTAGTAGGGGAAAGGCACATTGGCACCAGTGTGAATCAGCCACGATGATTTCTCCGGTGCGTGTCTTGTTCTTGAGTTTTCTCTGCTATGTGGCTACTGGAGGACGGAGTAAGTACTCTTTGCTTTAGAAAAAACACAATTTATCCAACACGCCAGTATGTAACACTACCTCGTCTTCAGAGTGGATGCTGGAGAGATGGGATTGATGTTTATTCTTTAAGAGCCTGTGCAGTGCTGCACCCTAAGATATTTAGTTAGCTTAAGTCTCAGGGGATGGACCTATATTTAGTTAGCTTAAGTCTCAGGGGATGTACCGCCTGGAGCATCATTGACATTAGATGAGATATTGTGTTGATTGTGTATTTGGTGCAGAACTCGGGTGCTTATTATTTGTAGCAGTGATGGTGTTTCGCTCCTATATGCTAGTGGATCTTAACACAGCTATAGATTTCTTAACCAATTGCTTTCTGTTCTCTTTCCAGCCTGTCCCAAGCCAGAGGCAATACCATTTGCCACAGTTGTTCCATTAAAACCATCCTATGAGGCAGGGGAAGAGATAAGATACACATGCCAGCCCGGCTACTACTCCACCCGGGGAGATATGAGACGGTTCATCTGCCCGATCACAGGAATGTGGCCTGCCAACAGTTTGAAATGTGTCCGTAAGTGAGCGCCTTCTCTCAAGCTCTCTTCTCTTGTGTAGAGTTGAGGGGAGGGTGGCTGCTACTTGCCAGCTCAGGGAGCAAAGCGCCAGCTGAGATGTGGAATCAAGGGCTGTGAAGAAGCAAGAGGGTCTGGACTCTCCAGGGAAGGGGAGACTAAGAGATATAGGTGCCCTTTACAAGAGAGGAGACCCGCGTTGCCGGAACTGGCAGATATAAATGGGGAACTAGTCTGATAAACGGAGCGAGAAACACTATACAAGTGAGAAGAATTGCAGAAACTCTGAAACAGATGGCAAGAAATCACTTGAAAAAAAAACTTGATCAATCATTGGATATTTGGATTTTGCCTCAAAATAGAAGCTTTCATATTGAAATGAATGCTCATGTCATCTAAATTATGTTTTCATCTACTATCATATGTATATATAATTTTTTTTTAAAGATTTATTTATTTGTGCATACAGAACTGGGGAACAGGCCAGAGGCTCAGGGCGGTGAGAGGCTTCACCAGAGACAGAGTGGGGAGCAGAACAGGCAGATCGACGAAGTACACTGCTGAGGGGAGCAGCGGGCGGGTCAGGAGAGGTCTGGCTCGCCATGTGGTCTCCTCCGGGGCAGGCGGGAATTGAACTCATGCGGAAGCGGCTTTAGATTCTCAGTGCTGTGCTTTAACCCGCTGCGCCACCAGGGAGGGCCAGTATATATAATTTTTATATACTAGAAATTATATTATGAATATATTAAGTTTATAACATATATTATAGACACATCTCACATTACTTTCTTGTAGGTGGTTGATTTTATTTTCTCTTCAGAACATGGCCCTGTCATACCAAGTAGACATTATTTTTCATAGTCAAATATTGGACCATCAGTGAGATAGAATTTCTGGCAATTTTATATAGGAATTAAGCAGTAAAAATAACTATGTGGACCTATCCAAGCTTTGGGTCTTTAGAGCATATAGGCATGATATATGTGAAGATTACAAAACTTCAAACAAGTGATCTTATGTGCTATTTGATTAAAAGCATCTAGACAATTTTTAATGGAAAATCATTGTAATATCATTAGGAAAATTTTAAAGTGTCACTCGTAACTAGAACATAGCAATTTAATTAATTATTTTCCCCCCACTGTCCCTTATCGCCTCTGTCCTTTTCTCTCCCTCATTCTTTTTAACGTCAGGGCCCTCAGTTGCTTTTTTTTAAGCTGTTTTACATTATAGAATTCAATAATATTGAATTCTGCTATGTAAATTGTTTTTATGACTGACTAATTTGCTGCATGTATCTCTCTCAAATTCCTTCCATTTTGTTGAAATGGCTATATTTCATCCTTTTTATTACTGTGTAGTAGTCTATCATGCAGCTATACATCTTCTTGATCCAGTTACCCATCAATGAACATTTAGGCTATTTCCAGGTTCCAGCTACTATAAATCATGCTTGTCTAAACATTGTGGAATTTAACCTTTTCTCGAGTGGTCACTTCATATTCTTTGGGTGGAAGCCCAAGGGTGGGAATTCTGGGTATGTATGGTTTATGGGTATTTCCACTTTCAATTTTATTAGATAAACCCAGGTTGCTTTTCATAATGGTTGCACCAGTTCACACTTCCACCAGTAATATAATCAGGCTCCTTTTTCTTTTCACCCCCTCTACGTTTCTTGTGGGTGGTCTTTTTAAGATGTGTCGTTCTCATAGGTGTGAGAAAGCATTTCATTGTGGTTTTAACCTGTATCTCTCCTATCTCCTAAAATTTCATGTTTAGAGGCCTTCTGAACAACCTCTTTCGTGAGCTGCCCATTTGCTAAACAGTTTCCTTTTTTTCAAGTTATTTTCCACATGTATATTTTTGCATCATGTCATGGGGAAGATACCATTTTGCTTTTTTCTATTTTCATCAGTCTGTCATAAACATTGAATGCCTCTATAAACTTCATAATTGATATTTTGTTGCCTGAGATTTCGACTATTGATTAATTTACCATGATTAATCAATGCTCTTATAGTGTATGTACATTTAGAGTATCCAGTTTTTGTTATTAGAGATAACAGTGCAGTGAACACCTTTGTGCATATTTCATTTGACTTAATTTGAGTTGAGGTATTTGATCAAAGAATATAAATCAATCTATGTATTTTTATTTTAATGGAAAATACTATAAATAGAAATTTACCTTTTTTTTTTCTTTAAATCACAGCAAGAGTATGTCCTTTCGCTGGAATCTTAGAGAATGGAATTGTACGATATACAACTTTTGAATATCCCAATTCAATCTCTTTCTCTTGTAAAACAGGGTAAGGATTTCTAGTTAACAAATGCAAAACATTTGTGTTCTTAAGATAAACAATAAGGTGGGTATATATTTTATTTCTAGCCTTTAGGTTGGACATGCTGAGTACAAGTCAATTTCAGTTCTGCTTTATATACAACAATAGTGTTAAGGGTGAGTTAAGGATAAGAAACCTAACAACTAGTGATATATGAAGCCACTATTAAATCTTGTTTTCTGGTCTTGATAAATTACTTATCTGAGGAAATGATTGAAACTATGTGATTCCTTATAATCTCTAGTCCAGATCTTGGCACCTGGGCTAAGGTACTTCAGGAACTGAATTTGAACTTTTGTGAGGAGTCTAATTTCTTTGATCTGGTTGTCTCTAGAAGAGAATCCTATGGAGAAAGCTGGCTGTGTGATAATGTATAATACAGTTCTCTTAATTTTCACATAATACAATATATCATCCCCAAGAAGAAAGACATATGGTGGTCTTATAGCTCATCTGTCATATGAACAGACACCAAGTGACATTGTCAGTCACACATTTGCTGTATATCAAGGCAAAATTTCACTAAGAATCCTTTATAGTATTGGAGATGAAGTACTAGTGTATGTAAAAGAGTAATACAATCCTTTCAGGACTGATTGCAAATGTATTGGTGAGGCTGATGACAACCAACCTTGAAATAATTGTTTTAAGAACAGAATGTTACAGTCTCAATAGAAGCAAACCACATTATTTTTACACATTTTTTTTTTTGTCAGCCGACTCTCAGAAATGGAATAGTGAAAATTATTCACTTGTTTTACTTTTGTGATCCTGAAAAGATATTCCTTGCTTTATGTGGGAAGTAGTTTACTTGGCTCGCTGGCTGGCTGGCTGGCTGGCTGGTGGGCTCCTGCCCACCAGCTGTGAAACCAGCTCATCGTTCAGTTGGTCACCTGGGGTGTTAGGTGGGAAGATTCCCTGAAGCTTAGGTGAGGGTGAAGCTCTTCTGGAAAACAGCACCGTCAGATGGGGAAAAAGTCAGTAGCATTAATCTGAAGCAGCCTTTAATGGAGAAGTCTCTAGAGATGCCACCAATGCACTCTTACTGGTTGATGGATTAGATTCTCCTTTTGCAGGTATTATCTGAATGGAACTAATACTGCTAAATGCAGTGAGGATGGAAAATGGACCCCAGGTCTTCCTGTCTGTGCTCGTGAGTTGGGTCTCACTTACAGGGAGGGTGACTTAGTGGTGTTGCTGGGGACTTTCCTGATTTTACTACTGTAAGTTTCACACCCAGAAACTGCTCAGTCCCAACTCAATAAAATGGCTATTACCCTTTTGGAGAATGTTCATCCTAGACCATCTTGCTTTGGAGGATGAAACAAATACCTCATAACGGCAAAATGAAAGTATTGGACTTCTGAACACATTTTTTATCCTTTACCTGGTAGAGTTCGTGATTTCTGAGTTTATTAATTCCAACACTCCCCCCCATGTTTTGATGGGGCTTGGATATGTGTTGGCTTGATCCACTGCCACTATTTGACTAAAAGAACTTTTGGAAACTGTGATACCTTCTTTGCACTTATTCATGTGTCCAAATGAATCTCTACTGATGATCTACTATGTGCTCTCTCTTATTCTTAGCACTGAAGCTATAAGAGCTAAAGTTGACTTAGCTTTTCTCTCTGCAGGTGAGTCTAGAGTGCAGGGAGACAAGAAAAATGACTCAAGAACTTATTTAAGGGCCTTGTAGCCTACAAATTTATTACGATGTTGCCAGGCATGCTGGTTTATCTCCAGCAAGCCGTCATTGGCAGTTCTGGGCTTTGCCTATCCAGAGAAAGTGTTTTTATGAAATCTGGGATTTATGTAAATGCAGTCTTTGGCCAGAAGGCTCAGGTGTTACAATAGTTACGGTCCTTTGACATTTCGGTGAGGTCTTTCCCAGCAGAAGCAAAAGTAAAGCCATTTCAAATCAAGAGTGATTTCAGGAAAACTGAACTATTAAAAAAAAAAAAAAAGCTTTTTTTTTTAGAGAAAATTATCTCCATATAAAAGAAAATTAAAAAATAAATAAAAAAAAAAAAAAATTAATAACATTTTATTACCCAATTCAATAAATT